ACACTGAATTGGGAAAAACTGAAATCCCCTCCTTTACCACGTGGAACAAGACAAGGATGTCCACTTTCACCACTCTTACTCAACACAGTACTGGAATTCCTAGCCAGAGCGATTAGACAAGAGAAAAAGTTAAAGGGCATTCAAATTAGAAAGGACGAATTCAAGTTAGCCTTGTTCACAGACAACATGATCTTACATCTAGAACAACCAAAAGACTCCAACAAAAACAAACTGATAAATTCAGTCAAGTCACAGGATACAAAATCAACAGCCAAAAACCAGTAGCACTTCTATACGCCAACAGCAAACATCTGAAAATAAATAAAGCAATCCCATTTGCAACAGCTACAATAAAATAGCATAAACACCTAGGACTAAACTTAATAAAAGTGAGATAGCTACAATAAAAACTATACAGTACTGATAAAAGTGAAGATAACATAATAAATTGGAAAGATAGCCCATGAGGATGGGAAGAATACTGTTAAAATGACTGTACTATCCAAAGCAATCTACATTTTCAATGTAATCCATATCAAAATATCAATGACATTCTGCACATGAAAAGAAAAAGGCAATTCTGAAATTCGTATGGAACAACAAAAGCAATCCTGAACAAAAGGAACAAAGCTGGAGGCATCACATTATCTGACTTCAAAATGCTCTATAAAATTACAATAACCAAAACAAACATGGTACTAGCATAAAAATGGACACATAGACCAATGGAACACATGAAAGAACATAGAATCCAATCCACACATTTAGTCAATGGAGTTTCAAGAAAGTCACCAAGAACATACATTGAGAAAGGAAAATCTAGATAGCCCATATGCAAATGAATGAAAGTAGACGCCTACCTCTCCCCATATACAAAAGTCATATCAAAACAGCTTAAATATTTGAATATAAGACCTAAAACCATGAAACTACTGTAAGAAAACATTGGGGAAACACTTCAGGACATTGCGCTGGGCAACTATTTATTGAGCAAGACCTCAAAAGCACAGGCAACCAAAGCAAATATAGAAACATGAGATTGTATCAAGCTAGAAAGCTTCTGTACAGCAAAGAAAATAATCAATGAAGAAACAACCTATAGAATTGAAAAGAAATTTGCAAAGTATTCATCAGACAAGAGATTAATAACCACAATATATAGGAACTCAAACTCAATAGCAGGAAACAACCCAATTAAGAACAGGCAAAAGTCTGATGAATTCATACAAACGGCCAACAGATATATAAAAAAAAGTTCAACAATATTAATGGTCAGGGAAATGCAAATTAAAACCACAATGAGATCATCTGCCCAGTTAAAATGGCTACTATGAAAAAGAAAGAAAATAACAAATGCTGGCAAGGATGTGGAGAAAGGGGAAGGCTCACACATTGTTGGAGGAATGTAAATTAGTACAACCACTATGGAGAACAGTAAGGAGGTTCCTCAAGAAACTAAAAACGCCACTACCGTATAATCAAACAATCCCAGCATTGGATATAGATCCAAAAGAAAGGAAATCAGAGTATCAAAGAGATATCTGCACTCCCATGTTTATTGCTGCACTATTCAAAATAGCCAAGGCATGGATCAGCCTAAGTGTCCATCAATAAGTAAAAAAAAAAAATTCAATATATATATATATATACACACACACACAAAATTAAGTATTCTTCCTCTATAAAAAGTAATAAAATCCTGTCATTTGCAGCAACATGGATGGAACTGAAAGACATTACATTATGTGAAATATGCCAGGCACACAAAGACATATCTCATGTTTTCACTCATACATGGGAACTAAAAATAAGTTGATTTCATAGATAGTGAAATCAATAGTGGTTTTGAGGCTGGAAAGAGTAGTAGGTAGAGGCATGAAGAGGGGTTGACTAATACATAAGAGATTACAGCTCAATAGAAGGAGTAAGATCTAGTGTTCAGCTGCACAACAGGGCAACTATAGTTAACAATAGTTTACTGTACATTTCAAAATAGCTAGAAGAGAAAATTTAGAATGTTCCCAACATAAATTTTTGAGGAGATGGATCTCCCAGTTATCCAGATTTGATCATTACACATTGTATGCTGGTATCAAAATCATATACACCACACAAATATGTACAACTATCATATATCAATAAAAATGTTTAAAAAGCAATAAAGGGCATTTAACTTGGAAGAAATCCCATTGTCCTCCCTTTGCAGACAACATGACGTTATATATGGAGAAACTAAAAGACTCCACCAAAATACTCTAACTGATAAGCTGCAAGACACAAAATCAACATGCAAAAATCAGCAGTGTTTCTAAACACCAATAATGAACTACCTGAAGCAGAAATCAAGAAAGTAATCCCATTTACAATATCTACCCACCGACCCCCCCGCAAATAGACACCTAGGAATAAATTTAACCAAGGAGGTGAAAGGCCTCTGCAATGAGAACTATAAAACATTGATAAAAGAAACTGAAGAGAACACAAATGGAAAGGCATACCATGCTCATTAATTGGAAGAATCAACATTGTTAAATGATGATACTATCCAAAGCAATCTACAGATTCAATGCAATCCCTATTAAAATACCAATGATATTCTTCAAGAAATAGAACAAATGATTCCAAAATTAATATGAAAACAAAAAAGACCCCAAATAGCCAAGGCAATACTGAGCAAAAAGAACAAAGCTGGAGGCATCACACTACCTAACTTCAAAATATTCTACAAGGTTATACTAACAAAAAAAACATGGAATTGGTCTAAAACCAGACACACAGACCAATGCAACAGAACAGAAAATCCATCATTAAATCCACGTATTTATAGGCAACTGATTGTCAACAAAGGCGCCAAGAACATCCAGTGGGGAAAGGACACCTCTTCAATTATTTGTCATCAGAAAAGTGGATATCCACGTGCAGAAGAATGAAACTAAACCCTTATCTGTCACCACACAGAAAAATCAACCAAAATCAATTAACTACTGTGAGCCTGGAAACTATAATACTAAAAGAAAACATAGCAGAAACACTTCAGGACATTGGTCTAGGCAAAGATTTTATGGCTAAGACCACAAAAGCACAGGCAACAAAAACAAAAACAGACAAATGAGACTGTATTAAACAAAATGCTTCTGCAGAGCAAAGGAAACACTCAACAGAGTGAAGAGACAACCTATAAAATGGCAGAAAGTATTTGCAAATTATGCATTCAAAAAGGAACTAATATCCAGAATATACAAGGAACTCAACAGCAAAAATATCACAAATATTCCATTTCAAAAGAGGGCAAAGGATCTAAATCGACATGTATCTAACACATATACAAAAAGCCAATAAAAATGCTTATCACCAACCATCAGGAAAATGCAAATCAAAACCAAAATGAGGTGTCATCTCACCCCAATTAGAATGACTATTACCAAAAAGACAAAAAATAAACAAATAAATAACAAATGCTGGCAAGGATGTGGAGAAAACGTACTCTCATACTAGGTTGGTGCAAAAGTAATTGTGGTTTTTGCCATTAAAAGTAATAGTTACCCACTCCCAAAAAGAGACACCTAGGAATAAATTTAACCAAGGAGGTGAAAGGCCTCTACAATGAGGCCACTGCCATTACTTTTAATGGCAAAAACTGCAATTACTTTTTCACCCACCTAATAGTATAGTCATTATGGAAAACAGCATGAGGGGTTCTCAAAAAAACTAAAAATAGAACTACCATACAATCTAGTCATTACAGTACTGCGTAGTTATTCAAAGGATAGAAAATCAATACATCAAAGGGATACCGGCAGCCCCATGTTTACTATAGCAGCACTATTCACAAAAACTAAGATAGGAAATCAGCCTATGTGTCCATCAATGGAAAAATGGATAAAGAAAATGTGGCATATATACACAATGGAATATTATTCAGCCATGAAAAAGAATGACATTCTGTCATTCATGGCAACATGGATGGGCCTAGAGGACACTATGTTAAGCAAAATGAGTCAGGAGCAGAAAGAGAAAATGCTCCGTGTTCTCACTCATGTGTGGGAACAAAATAAACTGATCTCATGGAAGTAGGGAGCAGAACTGTGGGTACTAGAGGCTAAGAAGGTGGGGAGAGGTTGGTTAATGAACACAAACTTAGGAGGAACGAATCTGCTCATCTGCAGCACTGCAGGGGAGATACGGTTCACTTTAATTTATTGTATATTCTCCAAATGCTAAAAGAAGATTTTGAATGTTCACAACACAAAGAAATGATAAATATATGAGGTGACATGCTAATTACCCTGATACGATACTACACATAATATACACATAATTATCACTCTGTATCCCACAAATATGTGCAAGCATTACGTGTCAACTAAAAACAAAAGGAAAAAACTATAGGGATAAAAAACAGATCAGTGGTTATCGGGGGTTGGGGTAGGGGTGGTAAGGTTGACTATAAAGGGACATGAGGGCACTTTTTTGGGAAATGAAACCATTCTGTATCTTGATTTTGATGGCAGTTTCATGACTGCATTTGTTGAAATCATAGAACTGTCTCACTAAGTAGGATAAATTTTTCGAATGTAAATTGTACCTCAACAAACCTCATTTTATTTTAAAAAAACATTGTTAAATAAACTAGGTAAAACTTGGTATATGTTGTTTACTGAGCAATAACTTGTCAATCATAATGTAATTCAACCTGCTAACTACATATGTTCTACTAGCACTCTGTCCTTCACCCATCCTTTTAATTACATGTTTAATGCCTACATTCCCACGTGACTCTAAACTCCATAGATCCTTGCCTTTGGTTAAATCTCAGCTTGGTGGGTGACAAAAGTTCCAGGAAACAAAATATATGCAGTTTGATGAGTTACCTTATGTATCTGTTTCCTACCATGTACTGAGGGTCATTACTTTTGGGTTTATGAAACCAAGGTGGAGTTCTCTGAAGATCATTGAGATTTTGCCATGGAGGTGTTTCAGTCTGGTTCCATACTACATACCTTGTCCTGGGTTTGGCAACGGAAACAGTCACATTCAAAGCAGTACTGGTCCCTCAGCTGCTTCCGGCGCTCCTCGCTGGTCATCAGCATATCCAGGTAGCAGATGGTGAGCTGTGCAGGCCAGAGAGAGGGAAGCGTTGACACATCTGCTGTGCTCATTTCTTTAACAAATGGTTACTATTATTGCTAATTATTGGAGTAAAACTTGTTTTTATTACAAACCAGAAATTTGAGAGAAGGTACCACTCAGTTTCTCTACCCAAATAATCACATGTAAATTTTTAATCTACTTCCCTTCAGTCTTTGTTATGTGGTAAGTACATATGGATCATATATTTAAAGAATGGGGCTTATGATCTCTACCCACTTTTGTATCTTACTTTTTTTTCCACTACAGTAAAATATCAAAAGCTGCTGTATGTTTGGTATTACTAAGGTTTGCTAATAAATTCTATAACCATTAGCAATCAGAGAAGCCAAATTAATCCTGGCAACCAAAAGGGTGGCAGATGATACAGCCAGATTGCTCTTAAATTCTAACCAATTCTATAGCTGCCTCATGGAATTTAAGGTCATCCAAATTTGGTATCTTTGAAATGAGAAAACAGTTCTCTTACTTGTAACTAGGTTTAAAAAAAGGTAGAATAATTTCCAAATAGGGGAGAGTTTAACTTGAGAGTAGCACCGCTGACGGAAGCATTTAACTGACTGCCTTACGCCCTTTCGGAGAAACATCCCCTGCCTCGGAGGGTGCGGGTTATGAATGAGAGGATGTATTTAAAGGACTCCTCAGACACTCTCTAACGCTGAGTCCCCTTTAAGTCACTGGTCTTTAGGCAACATTATAATGCTTAAAGCATTTTGCATTTGATTAGATCTCTTATGAAAGTCTAACTCAAAATCCGGAAGACAGAATGCTTGATCTTCCCGTCAACCTGTTCCAATGTTCTCGGCTGGAACATTCCCACTCTCAGTTGACAGTAACTCATCTTTTGTCTTATCCAAGTTGAAGCCTCAGAGTTATCCTTGACTTTGCTCTTTCCTTTACACCTACCACCCAATCCACCAGGAAATTCTGTGGCCTCTACCTTAAAAATCACCCAGAATCAACCACTTTTTACCTTTTCCTAATGCTACCACCCTGGTCTGAGCCATCTTTACCTCTTACCTGGAAAAGGTAACAGTCTCACAACTGTTCTCCCTGATTCTTTCTCTAGGCCCCTGCACTCCACCCCCTAGCCAGAGTGGTTCACTTAAAATATGTCAGATGGCATGTTCTGTTTGAAACATCACAACGCGTCCCCACTTTGCCTGAGTAAAGGTCAGGTCCTTCTAACTCCCCAAGTGCAACTCAAGTATGGGTCCTGCATTGGTGCTGGTGCACACTGTGGGTTACCAGTCCAGGATGAAATGAGTAAAGAAACCAAGTCAATATTTAGAAATGTTTTTTACTAATTTGGTAAGGGTAATTTTAGGTGACTCTAACAACAAAACACTGGGCTTTTTTTCTTTTTTTTAAAAAAGACAGGGTCTCACTCTGCCACCAAGGCGGGTATGCAGGGGCATGATCACAACTCACTGCAGCCTCAACCTCCTGGACTCGGGTGATCGCCCCCCTCAGCTTCCCAGGTAGCTGGGACTACAGGCGTGCACCACCACACTGGCTAATTTTCTGTCTTTCTTGTAGAGATGGAAGTTTCGCCATGTTACCCAGGATGGTCTTGAACTCCTGGGCTCAAGCAATCCTCCCTCCTTGACTTCCCATGGGATTACAGGCATGAGCCACTGCACCCAGCCGTTTTATTTTACATTCTCTAAATTTTATTTTTCTAATATTTTCACTAGATTTTATAAAAACACTGGTCTGTAACAGACTAGGAAGGAAAAGAAACACTGGTCCTTCGTCGTAGGTGGTTAGAGAAGCAATGGCTTCACATAATCCCACCTGTTCCCTCTCATTTCCCATCTCCCTTGTCGCTGCTCCACCAGGCTGGCCTCCTGTCTGGCTCCACACACACTCCTACCTCAAGGCCCGTGCACTGGCTGTTCCCTCTGCCCTTCCACCCTGTCTACTGTGCCAACCTCATCGCTTTTGAGTTTCAGTCAAATCCCACTTTCTCATTCAGGTCTAACCTCAATGCCCTATTAAAGGTAACAACCCAATTCTCTTCCCTTCTCTAGTTTTTTCTTTTCCTGTATCATGTATCAGCTTGTACCATACTGTATAAATTACTTCTTTGCTTTGAAAAGTAGAAAGTAATCATGGGGGTATGTGTGGTGGGGGAAGAAGTGAAGACTTTAGGAGAGCAAGAAGGCAGGATTATCCACGGAAGGAGAAGCAAAACACGCCCCAGAGCAAAAAACTCCATGTGGTTTTTCTTACACTTAAAGCATCTCATGTCTACAAAGCATGATCTTACTTGTTTGAAATCATGGTGGGGCAAAGGCGGCCATCCTCTTTGGCAGACAACGAAGCTTTGGGAAGGACTCTCTCAAGCTGTCGGCGTGATGGTGGATGGCTGGGCTGGCCAGCCAGATCTGTGAAATCCACCATGGCCATCACCGTCACCATCACCAAGGGGACAGGAGCCACAGCCTGATCTGGCTGGCTGGCTCTCCATAGATTCTTCACATTAGGCAACCATAACATGCTGCTCCATAAACAGAAACGAGAGTATCTGCCCCGAAGAGATGCAGATGATGATGTTACTGAGTATCCACTGTTTGTGGCGAGGCAGCATTGCACAGTAAAAACTAGCAAAGGTCTTAGGTTCAGGTACCACTGAAGACTGCACCCAGATCTCTTGATTTAAGTCTGATGCTCTTTTTCCTTTAACATGGCTGCTTCTCATACTTGGCGGGGAGAGAGGGCTGTAGAAGAAGCTGGCGTCTCTTAAGGCATTTCCGTAGTACCCTCAAACCTAAAATACTAACACCTGTGTTAGGGAATGTTCGGTAGCAACTGAGATCCTTCAGCTGAGACAACAGCCACTTTTTGATTTTCTCCATGTTTCTCTTGCTTCATGATCTGAAGCCAGGGTTGCCTCTGAGGCACAGAGGGTCACCACACTAGGCAAGTTCCTCTCGTTTCTATCGAATGCTATGTTCCAAATTCCAAATAACCTATTTCCAAGCACACCTTTTGAAACAGCCTATGAGTTAGTCTGGGACAGTAGATACATTCATCCTATCCTAGCAGGCTCTGTGGGTCCCAGTGTCCTTATAGGAGGTGAGGGAGCAAATGAGTCCATCCTTATGTCCCCTCTTGGGTTAACTCTAGGACACTAATTCTGAACCCAGCCCAGTGGCTCTTAGTCATCAACTCCCATTATCCGAGCAGGTAAATGGACAGTGATTTTGGGTGATTACAGTGTGCCCAGTGTGAAGCCACTAACTCCAGGGCCTTTCACACCAGAAAAAAATGTGCTTGACTAACCCAAGACTTTATTACAAGGGCCAAAACTCATTAGTGATCTTTTCAGGCAGTGAATGGGCAACAGGAGACTAGTTATTTCATTTAACCCCAATAAACTGACTCTTAAAGCCTCCCTCGGCATACTGTAACTGCCTGAACTGCTACCTGGACTATGCAATGGCTTTCTAACTGGCTTCCCCACCGCCTTCAGTGTACCTTTCATCTTCTAAACTGCTTTGAGAAGGATCTTCCTAAAACCCCCATGTGATCACGTCATTTCTCTACATGAAAACTTTCGACGGTTTCTCACTGCCTATGAATAAAGGCACACAAGGCTTTCCCTCAGCTAATTTTCTGTCTGCCTTTCTAGTCTCCGTGTCTCTCCCTGAACCCCAGCCTGTCACAGTTATGTACATTGCTAGACCTCGGAAACAATGAATACCATGCCAACACGTGTCTGGGCATCACTGCCTAAGCGAGGCTCTCCTCCACACTCAGCTTACTGAGAGCCTCTCATCCTCCAGGCTTGGTTCAAATACACCTCCTTCCTATGGCGACTGCCCCATTACCTCAGAGAAAGTGGCCCATTTTTGTGCTTCTTATATGCCAATGAAGTCTGCAGAGTATCTGGTTATCAACTGTGAAGGGCTTAATGGCAAAAATATTTTATTCTTATTTTTGGAAAAAAACAGCCAGATTACTAACTGGTAATGACAGCTAAAAGCATGTTATTAGCCAAAGATAAAAACTTTTATTAAAGACTCATTGACTCACCAGTTGTAACGGAATATCTGCTCAGTAAATGCAGGGCTCATTTAGAGGGAACATATATATGAAACTTGGCCATTGATCAGTAGACACCTTAACGGCACTAAACAAAATTGTATTAAAATATTAATGCCACAGACCACTGCTTTGCCATTTTCGTGCAGCTCTTATAGAAAATGCAGTAATTCATTTCTGACATTAGCGTAATATAATGAAGGAGATTTTCTAGATCTTGAATACATAGTTTACATTAAAATCTCAAGACAAAATGAACTCCTTTTCCATGAAACCATCTTTTCATTGACTACAACTGAGTGGATAAGATAAGCAAGTTAAGGCCGGGCGCCATGGCTCACACCTGTAATCCCAGCACTTCGGGAGGCCAAGGCGGGGGCATCACGAGGTCAGGAGATAGACCATCCTGGCTAATATGGTGAAACCCCATCTCTACTAAAAATACAAAAAATTAGCCAGGCATGGTGGCGGACACCTGTAGTCCCAGCTACTTGGGAGGCTGAGGCAGGAGAATGGCGTGAACCTGGGAGGCGGAGCTTGCAGTGAGCCGAGATTGCGCCACTGCACTCCAGCCTGGGCAACAGAGCCAGACTCCCTCTCCAAAAAGAAGAAGAAGAAAAAAAAGACCAAGTTAAAATTAGACCTTGTTTCATTTCTAGAATTCCGTGATCACAGTTAACAAATGTTTCTGCTAATACTGGCTCTGAACTGGAAAAAAGCCTGAAAAATATAACTTCTTTTTAAAGTCAAACCAGAGTATCATTGTGTCTCTTCTTGTTTCGCACATACTGCTAATTTTACCTTCTAAATATTATATTCTTCAGATACCCTATCACAAGCCACCACTGAGCTCCCCCTGACTTCGGGCTACCAATGTTATCTCTTCCCTGGATTATTACATCACCCTGACCCT